CAACTCTCCGAACATTCATCCCCATCATTTCCGCCTACGGTCTTCGTACGTCCATCCAGAATAGACTTGTTTTGCTTCTGTGATTCTGTGACATTTCGGAACAATTTTTGTTTTTGTTTTGTTTCTGTTGTGTTGTTTGCCAATATCTTACCCCCATCTCAATTGGTTTTGTATTACTATATGTTTCTTTTCATTTTTGTTCTGATTTATTGTCATTGCGTAAGGAATAGCGGAGGAAAGGCATCCAACGGCGAAGAGGGATTGACTTCAAAGTCCTGTTATCGGCCAGCCAAAAAATGAATTTACGGTGGTCATCAGTAGTATAATCAGGTCATTGACCACTAATACCTACATCCACTGTATGATAGAAGGACAATTAGTTAAATATGAATAGGAATAGAGATGATTTTTGTGCGAACCGTGCATGCTAGGAAGCCTGCTGGTGTTTTGCCTTGCCACTACTGCTTGACGCAGCTCACGGAAGTCGTTGTTTGAGTAAGTTTTTGTTAGGCCAGTCGCTGCGGGGGAGCGCAGCAGAGCCGCCGGTGGTGAGATTACCAGGCCAAGGACATCTGGAACGTTGTTTCTAGTCGGAGTAGAGAGTGCAACTTGTGGTGAAGATGATGGGAGCAAGAATAGTTTGAAGCTCTTGCAAAGAAAGCTGAAGAGCATCTGGAATTTTCATACTCACTGGGACGAATAACTCGTCTTCGTCAGCAGAAAGTGTAGTGCGCAATTTGTCCAAAGTATGAAGCTGATCTTCAGGAAGCGTCGCTGACAAGATATCGTAGAGCGTCGTCAATGTTTCGACTTTGATTCCCGGAAGAACAGTGAGCCTTTGCTCGGGAGGTTGGGTTGTGAGCCATTCCATGAATGAAAAGATGGCAGAGCCAGAGTCAGGTGGCATAGTTTTGTATGTCCCGAGAGCAGCTAAAGCTCCTCCGATCTCGATTCGGAGTACGTCTGCATCAAGCGCTTTCCGCTGACAGGCCTTTCAACACGGTAAGAGCTCTTAACCATAGTGCAGAGTTGAACTCCACCTCCGCGTCGGCTGCGCGTTGCTGGAATGTCCTAAGAGCGAATAGAACGAGCGTGAACCGAAATTTCTCGTTGTCGAATTGGTTCGAGTGGATTAGAAGCATTTCCACAACTGCGTCCAAGTGTCGAGAAACTACTCGAGCGGCTAGCAAATACGTCAAACACCTCGTCAAACTGTTGAATGCTTCCTGGACGCTCTTCAGCGTCCCGAGGCACCATTCCAACATATCCGAGCCCGTCTGGAGCATATGTCCTACAAGGCGCACATGCAGTCCAATTTGGTATAACAAGACGAGCACTTGAGTGCTGGTGTCTTTCTGGTCCACCGACGCCAAAAGCGTTTCCGCACACCGCTCAAAAAGCTTCATCTCCTCCGTAAGCAACCATTCTGCCATCCCCACTAATCCCTCGCTATCCAAGCCTCACCAGGCGTCGCAGCAAATGAACCTTGTTCTCCACATCGAGCTGACGGAAAAACCCTTGGGTCTCCTCGAGTACATTCGGAAGCACGTCCACTACCCAATGCTCTTTTTGTTTTTCCCCTTCTTTCTCATCTTCTGTGGGCTCTCCGCCCATAGCCATACCATTAGAGCTTGACTCGGGTAAAATATGGTCGATAAGAGCAAACATTTGTAAAAGATGATATGCTGGGTCCCGTCCGGCGCTCGCTACACTGTGCTTAAGAAGCACGTACATTACGATTTCCGCCCCGCTTTTGCCTCCTATAGGCTCGATGGTGATACCCCTCGGTCCGCAGCTAGATGCCCTTCGAACAAATTCCAAACAGACCTGACGGGCAGACTGTGCGGAAATGCAGGCGGGAGTGCCTTGAGCGTATATGGTGTCAGCAGCATCAGTACAAGCAAAGACGTCTGCGACGCCGAGTACAAGAGAGCGCAATGTGTACGAGGTTAGCGAAAAGGCGAATGGCGCTGATCCTGATCCTAATGGTAAGGAAGAAGAGGAAGATCCAGGAACGAGAACGAGATGGAGGAGAAGCGTAAGAATGTCTTCCGCCAAGCTAAAAAGCTGCGATAGAACCTGGGGAAGGGAAGTGGCTGATGAGGACTGTTGTTGTGTAGGGAATGGTGAAGTAATGAGGAAATGCCCGTTCAGATCCTGTGCCGTTTCTGTCAAGAGGTCCGCGAGACGAGGAATCAGTGCTGTTGATTGTTCATCCCAAAGTGTCTGTAAGATGGTCCAATCTCCTTTCTGAGGATCCTCGGCCAATTCTCTCTCCACTAACGCGACACTGACACGAAGAGTCCTCAGACGGCGGTAGGACAATGGGTGAGCACTGGGTCGAGTTAGTTCCTCGATTGCCGCTGGTAAGCCGTCCTCTACGACCAGAGCGATCTTTCGCATGGAAAGACGGTCACTTTCGGATATGTGCGACAAGGGCTGTTTTAACGAGAGTATGGTCTGGACTAGGTCATTGTTCAGAGCAGCCTCAGGCTCGTCTAGGATATCAGCGAGGATCTGTTCGCCAAATATACCAGACTTGCGGGGTGTGTCGTTGGCGGTTATCCATTTGAGACGGAGGGTAAATTGCCGGAGAAGAAGGAGGTAGTTTACGATCTGGAAAAATCTTATGAGATTCATGAAAACGAATAGACATGAGCTTTTACCTCGCGATAATCTGTACCCTGCCAGAGCCTCAACACACCCAGTGTTCGTTCCCGACAAACATTGTTCCCTAGACTATCCGACCATGCCCACACCGCCAAAACACTCGCCACACCAATAAACGCCCGCACAAACGCAATAAACTCGTCGTGAGACAGTGCCCCACCGAGACCCATACCTCCAATCGTATTATTCAGACCATTCCTCACAAAAAGCTTTGGATAAGCACCTCCCGAATTGGGATAAAGTGGATTTTCGGCGAGCTTCGTCACCAAATCATCATGTCCCATCATACTAGCTAACCAAATCCCTAGACTTTGCTCTCCGGAGCCAATATCGCGCAGCATTGCACTAGCAGCAGCGAAATCCGCCTGAGTGTTGGATAGCGCGTCTTCAAAGATATCCCAAGCTTGAAGGCGCGTAGCGAGGCGTTCGGCTGCTTGTTTGGCCGTCTTTGGGTGGAGGGCACTGAAGGAGGAAGATTGGAATTCGGTAAGAATAGAAAGGAAAGAGTCGGTGTTGAGATAGCGCGCAATGTCGGCGTTCGCTGCGGCGTCAAGGAGGTGTAGAAGGGTATCTTCATCGAGTGATTCGGCGTCGAACACGTCGACTGTATCGATTGCTTGCTATGATTGATGTGAGTGCAAAATACAAAGGAAGAATGTATATGAGCTTACGCAAAGAGCCAAGGCTAGCGAAGGACGCTGACATGCCGAAAGTTTAAATAGCTTAGCAATATAGAACGCCTGGCTATTCGTTTTGGGGCCAATACCATCCGCTACGATCTGCGCGAACTTTGTTAGTGCGTCCTCCGACACACTATCCGAAACTGGTTTCGACATTGCATCCAGTGCCTCCTCGAAATCAAAATTGACCCCATATTCACCGTTAACAGCTTCGTCTCCATCCACTTTCGGATTGGTTTGGAAGATGTCCTGTTCGAAATCCGCGAAAAGATACGGGAAATCAGGCTCATCCCAATCGTCATTATCAGGTTTGAGACAAAACATGAGTTTAGTGATGAGTGAGAGCGGAGGTGAGTCGTCAAGAAGGGAGAGAAGATTCCTCGCAAGGAATGTTGGTTCGGCAGAGCTTGCTGGGTTCACGGACGCAGAAAGTGTCTTCGACTCGACGGAGGCGATCGTTTTCAATGCCGAGTTAGCTGTGCCCTCAGAGGGTGGAACCAAGTCAGATATAACTTGGCCATAGATTGCGAGTGAAAGAGCGTCGAATTGGCCTTTGAGTATCATCAGCCTGGTACCATACTGAATTCTAATCAGTGACAATAGATATCAATGAACATTATCATACCTCTGTGCCAAAATCGACGGTAAAATCGACCTGACCACCTGCATATGCAATTGTAGTCGGAACTAACGCGTTAGTCGCTCGTTGTTTCTCCTTGGAATCTTGGGAAGATTGTATTGGCTGCGCGTTGAAATAGACATCCAGGAAAAAGGAGTCTGGTTCAGTTCCACTGTATATTAGAATTTATCAGTTAATGGACGTGTTATAATTGAACAAGACAAAAGCCACACCTAATGATATCCGGACACTGTTCAAAAGGTTTTACACCTTTTGGAAAGACACGAATCGAGGATACACGGACAAGCTTTGCGAATCGAACCGCAGCAAGTCCAGAGGGACCCTCAGGCGTAACTGTACACCAGTGCAGCAATTTCATCGAGGAGAAGAGGAGAGAGCGCGGAATTGCTTCCGCGGTATCGCACGTGTACACCAGCGTCTAATTGTGCGAACCGAACTTCACTGGTCTCACTGACTCTCACATCTTGATTCGGTTTTGTACACTCTTTCCTCAAATCCCTTGCCTGAAGGCTTGTCAGTCAGGGATCTACACTTCAATGGGCTTGCTTTTAGCGGTCTATGCACTTGGTCACCGTTTTTAATTCACACTTTGGGGGTTTTCACTTCGGGGGCTTTTTTTTTTAGCGGGTTATGCACTGATCCCCACAATCTAGAGGATAACACGACATGAATAATCTATTGGATGGACTCGTGGCGGTCCGATATAACAGATCCAACCGAGTAGTCGTGTTATTTGGGAGACAGCGGGTCGGATCCCACTCTCTTACTTCCTCAGCGCGTTGCAACAGCCTGCTATTACTCGGTAACCGCAGGCTTCAGGCTAATTTGAAAGAAGGAAGCCTCAATACGCGAGCCCTCCTCAATTTTGATGCTGCCTGTGCTTAAATTTGCGAGTCAAGGTAAAATTTCTTTATGCATTTCGGTGTCATTATCTTTTATTTCTATTTCTATTCGATTCAAGTCAAATTCTGTCTGTCTGTTAAGAAGATTCAAAGAACCGAAGGTAGCAAGCCCCCGTTGTCTAATGGTTATGACGTCAGACTTCTACTTTCGAGCAATCTGGACGTTGCGGGTTCGAGTCCCGCCGGGGGTTTTTGCACATCTGGTGATATTCTTTTGCGCTTCCTTTTTCCAACCAAGGAATGATGATTTCTCCGGTCCCATCTCTTTGTCTTTCCATTAACCCCCACTTTCAATATACTACCAACTGTTTGTTATTGGGTGCCGAGAGGTTGCACATGAGAGTTGTCTACTTCAACTTATATGCCATAAGGAGTTTTTTTCATGCAAACTTATATAGATTGAGCCAACTTGCATCCTGTGAGTCTACTAGCTATGAGAGATGAGGAGGAGTCATGAGATAAATATGTGTGCAACAGTAAAATGCATGTAAAATAAAGTATGATGTCTCAATGCTGTAAATGCCAAGTGTAGGTTTGAGTTCCACTGGGGGTTGTATGCATTACTTTAATGCTCATTCAGTTCAATTTTCCAGTTTACAGTGTACACATCCTGACTCCCATTTCTCCATACCTATCTCATAAGTAGAGCTACCACAGCATGACATAGGCCCCTGAGGGCCTAATGTGCAGAATATGAACTCTATCTATCTATCCCAGGACAGAAGAATTTGTTATTGGCAAAATCAAACCCATCCAAATGCTTGATAGACATCAACCTACACCAATGGAGCTTGTTGAAGCAACCTAAGTATTGAATCTTCACATGAAGCCACAGATATCAGACACTTGTTCTCTGCCTGGATTAACTTGAAGAACTCCTGCATGAGCATGTGATTCTTGTGAGTTGCCCACTTGCAATCATTTCCTGTATATCTCAAAGTATATCATGTTGGATAAATACTTGGCCATCAGTTGTCTGCATCAGCAAAACCTGGGTGTTCTGTACAGGGCTGTACAGCTCTGTACAGAACCCGCAGCACTCACAGCACTCACAGCAAGGAATAATCACAAAATCATATTATATTATTGTGCTCGTACTAGTAGGACAATTACTGTAATAGCTGTAATAGTGTACTAATGAAACTCATAGAATGAAGCAATACTACTATCAGCAGCTTCAGAGATGTGTTTCCCAGCCTGTATGTAGCCAACAAGCTGATTTTTCTTAGGAAAGTCATGATGCATGCCAATGTATGGTTTAGTGTACAAAATAAACTAGACATGGCAGGAAATTTCAAGTAAATGTGAGCCGAACTGTTTTTTTTTTCCGCGACCCCGAGTAAATCATTGCCAGTGCAGCAACTAGCAAGGCACTTGTAAAATCCCACACACAAAATGGGGCAGCCTGGGTCAGCCAGAAATACTAAGTTTTAATTACTGTGGCCAGCCGGTTGTCGCCCCATCTTCCTTGACTTGTTGCCCTGTGCCTCAGTGCATTGTCAAGCACTTCGGCCCAGTTCAGAAGTTGCTCAATGCTGTGGGTAAGTGAATAATGAGCTACAAGCAGGAGTATGCATACTAGATAGATCATGTGGTCCCGATTTCAAAGTATGACTGAATGGATGGTTTTCAGAGTGGTATATCAATGTAAGTTCAGCTGTGATTGCTCGCCACTCTCTCCACCCCACATCATTGTTCAGATCAATCAAGAATCATGTGTCAAGACTACATCAGCAAAATGTGTATGATGCAGCCCCAGCACTCCAGGACCTAGATGCACTGGTCGGTGCCGGCCAAAGCCCCCAGAAGCTCTCAGAAGCTCCCAGAAGCCGCAAAATTACCTTATTTGGAAATAAAAAAGAGATGTTGTATGCTTTTATATTTCTGACAGCACTGGCAAGCCCTGGACAGCGCCGGGAGCTCTGGGAGTGCTGGGAATTTTAAGTATTGCTGTGGGAATTAAAATGCAAAATACAGGTTTCGCTGATTAGTAAATGCCTGAGACCATATGTAAACCTGACCCATTGCACATCGGGAAAGATCTGCATTCTTTCGCCCCATCATCATGAGCAAAGAACTCTCTCAAGACAATAGGTATGTAAGAATCAACATGATATAGGGATGGAAACTCAATTATATTAAAAGCCATTCTCAAATGACTGTCAACACCTACAGGTGAGTAATGATTTCCAATGTGAATTTCCGTTTTCTTGTGATAATAGTCTCTACCAAGAATGTTTGACCATGCTTCCAATTTTGAAGTAAATGGTGGCATGTTTGTCAATAATTATCATATTATGTGTAAGTCAATGTTACATGTAATTAACATCAATTACCAACTGACACTGCATTCCATCAAAGCAAATGATACAGAAACCAAAATCCGTGATTGGCTTAAAGCACCTGATTGCTCTGTCAATTTTCAAACAGCTGTTGACAAGAAAACACATGGTACTGGCCAATGGATTATGGATCATCTTAAGTATCAGAAATGGAAAGAAAGTTCCACTGTACTATGGATTCAAGGCAAAGGTAAGAGTTTTGTTTCTCTTTCAGGTGTATGGCTCACATTATATTTTATAGCTGGATCAGGAAAGACTTTTTTATCGTAGGTTTACTCATAAAAAAATCATACCATGAATTGTCAATGTTTTCTTTTTTTTTTTTTGACAGGACTACTATCATTGAGGATCTTCAAAAAAATGCCCTGAAGAGTGTATGGTATCATTACTTTGATGTCCGGGATAATAGTGGGCTGAAGTCAACATACCGAGGTTTCTTATTGTCTCTTTTGCAACAAGTAGGATCAAACACACATGGAATCCATTCTGAGCTAGGAAATCTCTTCAATAAATGTAAGAAGGGTGTATTAGTTTCACAAGCCACAAACTTGGAGATAGAAGATACTCTAAAAAACATCTTCAATGATATTGAGCTTGGATATGTGATACTTGATGCCATGGATGAATGCCAGGAAAAGCAAGCAATTTACAAGTGGTTAAATGGAGCTGGATGTGCTCCCAATCTTCATATTGCCATCACAAGTCGTGATCATATTGGGGCAAACATAACTAGCCCTTCAAAGCAAATTTTCCTGGAATTAGGCAGCTCTGGAATGGATTATGATATAGCTTTGCACCTTGATAGGGAAATAGTCAAATGTGGTTTCAAAGGAAAATTGCAGGAGGAGGTAAGAGTATCATTAATGGCACAAGCACATGGCCAGTAAGTCCAAATTCAATGTTGTTCTATACTTTAAGGAATAATTTATGATAAAATCTTAGGTTCCGGTGGGTAGACTGTCAACTCAAAAGTTTGAGTAAATGTGGTTCTCCAACATCAGTTCGGAAAGCTTTACAAAAGTTACCAAAAGATTTGGAAGAAACATATACAATGGCCTTGCAAAAGGCTCATGAAAGTGATGATGCAGAACATGCTCATCAGATTCTTCTTTGGCTCACCTATACATTTGAGCCAATGAATACCAGGCAAATCAGTACAATTCTGGTTATTGATTTGGAGGAGCAGCAAGTTGAGGAAGAGAGTCAAATGGATTTGAAGCTGGATGTACTCCTTGATTCTAATCTTGTTACTGTGGATCAAAACTATGAGGTGCAACTTGCACATGCATCTGTGAAGGAATTTTTGATTAACAAGTGTAACAAAGGGAGTTTTTTTAATATCAATAAGCAGATTGCTCATGAAAAAATAGCACAAGCATGTTTAATCTACTTGCTAAAATTCCTGGAACACAATGAATATTTTAAACGAGAAGCTGTATGGGAGGGATCAATTTTGTTTGGGGACTATGCAGTGTTTCAATGGCTATCTCATGTAAAGATAGTTGAAGAAGGAGATAAAGAGACTGCAGTACTAGGACTGACAAAAAATCTATGTAACGACACTCTCTTTGCCAGCTGGGTGGCTAGATATGAAGGTAGAAATAATAAAGATGTATCCCTTGAACCACTTTATTGGACTGCAGCATCAGGTTTGGTGAAGACTGTTGAACATTTGTTGGAAATTGGGGCTGATGTGAATGCACAAGGGGGTGGATATGGGAATGCCCTTCAGGCAGCTGCAAGAAATGGTCATGAAGCAATTGTCAAGTTTCTCTTGCAAAACAGGGCTGATATTAATACTCAAGGAGGTTTTTATGGGAATGCCCTTCAGGCAGCTGCAAGCAATGGTCATGAAGCAATTGTCAATCTTCTCCTGGAAAAGGGGGCTGATGTGAATGCTCAAGGGGGTTTTTATGGGAATGCCCTTCAAGCAGCTGCAAGAAATGGTCATGAAGCAATTGTCAATCTTCTCCTGGAAAAGGGGGCTGATGTGAATGCTCAAGGGGGTGACTACGGGAATGCTCTTCAGGTAGCTGCAAGAAATGGTCATGAAGCAATTGTCAATCTCCTCCTGGAAAAAAGGGCTGATGTGAATGCTCAAGGGGGTTTGTATGGTAATGCCCTTCAGGCAGCTGCAGAAAATGGTCATGAAGCAATTGTCAATCTCCTCCTAGAAAAGGGGGCTGATGTGAATGCTCAAGGGGGTGAATATGGGAATGCCCTTCAGGTAGCTGCAGAAAATGGTCATGAAGCAATTGTCAAGCTTCTCTTGCAAAACAGGGCTGATGTTAGTGCTCAAGGGGGTTTTCACATGAATGCTCTTCAGGCAGCTGCAAGCAATGGTCATGAAGCAATTGTCAAGCTTCTCTTGAAAAACAGGGCTGATGTGAATGCTCAAGGGGGTTTTTATGGGAATGCCCTTCAGGCAGCTGCAAGAAATGGTCATGAAGCAATTGTCAAGCTTCTCTTGGAAAACAGGGCTGATGTGAATGCTCAAGGGAGTAGATATGGGAATGCCCTTCAGGCAGCTGCAAGAAATGGTCATGAAGCAATTGTCAATCTTCTCCTGGAAAAGGGAGCTGATGTGAATGCTCAAGGGGGTTTGTATGGGAATGCCCTTCAGGCAGCTGCAGAAAATGGTCATGAAGCAATTGTCAAGCTTCTCTTGGAAAAGGGGGCTGATGTGAATGCTCAAGGGAGTAGATATGGGAATGCCCTTCAGACAGCTGCAAGAAATGGTCATGAAGCAATTGTCAATCTTCTCCTGGAAAAGGGAGCTGATGTCAATGCTGAAGGGAGTAGATATTGGAATGCCCTTCAGGCAGCTGCAAGAAATGGTCATGAAGCAATTGTCAATCTTCTCTTGGATAAGGGGGCTGATGTGAATGCTCAAGGGGGCTTGTATGGGAATGCTTTTCAGGTAGCTGCAAGAAATGGTAATGAAGCAATTGCCAATCTTCTGTTGGAAGAGGAGGCTGATGTGACAGTAACCTGATTCAAAGTGTTACAAACACTTTATCTTATCTCATGCCACATGGACTATTACTTATCTGTTTCTTCTATTTGTCTTTGTATATCTTGGCGCTTACTTAAGCGCGCACTTGTTTAGGTGCATGGCTCCATTGTTTACTTATGTTTCATTATAGTTCATTGACACATGTACAATCTTGTATGACCGTTTGATCCTTGATCATCCTTCAATCACTTCAATCACGCCTTATGCTAGGATGCTGCATTTGGTGCTGGATACATATGTACAATCACTTATTACTTACAGACATCAATACTGTTGTACTTCATAGTTTCATGCATTGTTACAGTATGTACAGGGTATAGGGTACTGGGTCTAGGGTTTGTACAGTAGTATATATAGTAGTTGTAGCTGTAGCATAGTCCTTAGCTTCAATCTTGTCAATACCTCCTAGTCCTCAATTCATTCTTTTTCTCTTTTCCTCATTGTTCTTGTCTTTGCTTAAGTCAGAAGTTGTGACACCTGGTACCTTGTGTTGTGAGGAACTAGTCACTGACACAAAGCTCATTGACACCCCAAGGAATCACCTCACTCTGAATACTTGGTGTCCCACAGGTGCTCCAGCCTTTCTTCCAGTAATCTGATATGCCTTGTTAAACACAAGGGACTCAACTTTTTGTTAAATGTGTTAAAGAAAATCATGTACCATACATAAAAGCATTAAATGGAATTGAATACACTACTGTTTCTTTGATTAAATGTGTCTGCTCTACATGATCTCACCAGACTGAGTAATGTATTTAAACCTGCATCAGCAAAACAGCAAATAGTCTTTTTGGCACTTTTTTGAACATTCTTTCTGATTTTGAGCAAACTTCTCAAACCCAGGGTCACATCCTTTTTTTAAAGATCAGTGTACTTCATAAAGGTTGCAATAAGTTGAAAAAAAGTTTATTGATAAGTTAGAAATCAGTGTATATAAAAGACTACATATGAGTATTTGTGATACTTTTCGAATACTGGAAATACCTGTTTGCAGGGATGTAGCTTGCATGTTGTTTGCATGATGAAACAGTCAGCAATGGGCATTGCACAAATCTAACTCATCACTAACAGACATGCAGGCCCAGTGAAAACCCACATCAGCAAAACCTGTATTTTGCATTTTAATTCCCACAGCAATACTTAAAATTCCCAGTGCTCCCAGAGCTCCCAGTGCTGGCCAGTGCTTGCCAGTGCTGTCAGAAATATAAAATCATACGTTATTTCCAAATAAGGTAATTTTGCGGCCTCTGGGAGCTTCTGGGAGTCCCCTCCTGCATTGGCCGGACCATCTGAGTGCTGGGACGCTGGAACACTGGGAGCTCTGGACAGTTCGCTCAAGCACTGCCCACATCATACAGGTTTTGCTGATGCATACTGAGTTAGTCTGAGAAAATCTGAGAAAATATGGGTCTAGTATTGTGCTCAGAGCCCTTGAGCCCTCTGAGCCAGGCCTGGCTGGAACCATCTCTAGGGCTCTTCACTGGGGTCTTGGTCTGGAGCTCAGGGTGCTTGATTTTAATCACTGAATGCAGGATTTTTTGTTCAAATTTGAACTTAATTTTACAAAATATTTCAGCATATTGGTTTACTCCATTGAGGAACAAAGAAACTCATTGAATATAAAACCTTCATCCAGGCATTGCCTTACTTTGATCATCTCAAATATGTTTCAATGATTGAGTTTCGGAACATTTTTCTCATCAACCTTTTTCTCATGAGCCATACTTTAGTGACCAACAACTCTGTTATTCAAGTTCCATGGAGAAATTGCTAAGCAGTGAGGTCCCTAACCATGCTAAATGGTTTTGAACACTCTTTGGAGAGATTACCTGTTAAGGATCCTTAACAAAACATTTGATCCTGAGCAGTCTTTACTGTCTCAGGACATCTGTTCCTCAACCACGTCGTTTACAATGGTCCTGAGTAACCAGCTATGTCCTGAGTGGATGATTACGTAATAAGGACATCCAATGGGGTGGGGGTTTGATTCCTCTATAGTGCGCGCCTCCTGCCACATACCCGACATGAAAAATCTATTGGATGGACTGCCAAATCAACAAATCCAACCGTTACAGTAAAGCAGTTGTATACCAATTCTCCTACTGTATACAAGATTCAGATGTAGGTTGTATATGTCATCAATCCTTTCTAAATCTTCCTTCAATCCCCTCTTACTGTGAATAACAAACTCAAAACAGCTCCAGAAATCTATTGAATCCTTACTAGTGTCATGTTTTGCTCAGTATGCACCAAAACCAATATGCGGATTCTAGGCCTTCAAACTGTGGAGAGGGCATCATAGGCTCTATGCTTCAAAAAGAGCTCACTGACCCTGTCTGCTGTCAGAATATAGATATTCTTTGTGGCCAAGATCAGTCTTAGATCACAGGTATGGTTAATTTCTTTTTACTTGCTTTCATACATTTGTCTTGAACAATATTCTTAAGTGGGAGACAGCATCAGATTGTGTGATTCTGTGCATTGCAACCTGGTATTACTGCCAGGCTTCAGGCTAATTTGAATGAGGAAAGCTCACACCCAATATGCCTCCAATGCTACTAGAGCCCTCCTCAATTTTGATGCCCCATGTGCTTGAACAGAGTAAGTTTCCGCTACTTACTCTTTAAAATGCCTGTTCTAGAGCATACAGTGTCATGGCCAATACTAGTCTCTGGAAAACCTCTCAATGGCTATTGGTATCTTGGTATGTCTATGTCTTGCATCTCTTAATAAGCCTCAGCAAGAGAACCTTGCAATGGACTGCTGTTTGTTGTGTATCTCTATTTGGGCACCTTGTATCTGTCTTATGCTACTCAAGTAGCAAGCCCCCATTGTCTAATGGTTATACCATCAGACTTCTACTTGCAAAGGGGCTGAATCTGGAGATTGCAGGTTTGAGTCCTGCCAGGGGATATGTGATGTTTCTCAGATGTTTCTCATATCTTTTTGCGCATCAGCAAAACCTGGGTGTACTGCACAGAACTGCACAGTTCTGTGCAGCACCCATAGCAAGGTACCCATCTGTGCAGAACTATGGATTGCTATGGACTGCTATGGGTTGCTATGGAATGTACCGGTTTCGAGGCATTTGATCGCGGAATGGCTCTATTCAATACAAATATATTAATCTTTTGAATTGCTTTGTTGCACTTTGCAAGACCAAAAATGGATATTAGCTATTAGAGTTACGTTCCTAAATAGGAAGTAGCAGCAGTAAGTCCACACAGGACTTAGTAGTAACGATCACACAGATCGATGGGGGACAACGGTGTTATTACAGGGTATGCTACCTAGGCTTATATACAGTCCTATGTACAAACGATATATCGGGCAAGTGGCTACTGCGTGAATATGTGTGGCTACTGTCCATACGGTAAAGTGGGTACTGCGAGAAAGCAAGTGGATACGGCGAGAGACTGAGTGGAGTCTGCGAGACGATAACAGTGGAGTGCATGGGATGGTGATACAAACAAGTGGAGACTACGAGAAAGCATTCCATGTATAGTTCGATAGAATATATTTTACCTTTGATATTCCAACACTCCCCTTCAAACCTTTGCTAATCCCATGGATGCTGCGAAGTGTTTGGCTTTCATCGAAGGTAAGGCTTTGGTGAAGATGTCTGCCGTCATGTTTTCGGTAGGGCAGTATGTAAGACAAATTTTACCTTCCTCAATGACGTAGCGGATGAAGTGGTATCAGATGTCGATGTGTTTGGTCCTAGCGTGAAAACGATCATCCTTTGCCAACGCGATGGCAGACTGATTGTCTGACATGATAGGGATCGCATGAGTAATTGGACCAAAAATTTCCGACAAAAGATTTCTAAGCCAGATTGCTTCCTTTGCCGCATGGGTCAAAGCGATATACTCGGCGAGGTGGTGGATAAAGAAATGGTATCCTGTTGTTTCGACGACCAAGATACTGCTCCGCCATTCAACATAAAAACGTACCCGGAAATAGCATGTCGATCCTCTTGGGACATACCATCCGCATCCATATAGCCTTGGACTGTCTCCTGGTTGCTCGTACTGAGCCAAAAGTCTTGAGTGTACTTGAGATAGGCGTAGACACGGCGTACACCATTCCAATGAGTGATGCCGGGGTTTTGTGAAAAGCGAGCAAGGATGGAGACTGCATACGTGATGTCAGGTCTCGTAGCGACGGACAAGTACTGGAGAGCACCAAGTGCCTCTCTGTAGGGTTTGTTGCACATGAAAGCAATATCCTCGACCGTTTTGGGTGACTGGTCTTTGGTGAGGTGAATGTGGGGATTGAAGGGAATAGAGAGTGGCTTTATATCCAAGAGTCCATAGCAAGAGAGTATGGCGTCAATGTATGACCGCTGGGATAGGTGTATCATCCTATTATGGAGAGATCTTCAGATCTCAATCCCAAGTAGCCAATGGATTTCTCCGGAATCAACAACTTTGATTATAGCCCCAATATCTTTCTTCAATTTCTCCATGATGGCCAGGGTTTCGGTAACCAATGTCATGTCGTCAACATGTATGAAAATGATGGTGAAGGGATTAGTGCAATAGAAAACAGCGTGATCAAAATCAGACCATTTAAACCC